TGTGGGTGGGGGTTGGGTGGATGTGAGTGTGGATGTGTGTGTGGTGTGTGTGTTGTGTGTGTGTGTGTGTGTGTGTGCGTGTGTGTGTGTGGGTGGGTGGGTGGGCTGGGTGGAATGTGAGTGTGTGTGTGTGGGTGGGTGGGTGGTTGAGTGGATGTGTGTGTGTGTGTTGTGTGTTGCGTGTGCGTGTGTAATGTGTGTGTAGCTGTGTGTTGTGTGTGTGTTGTGTGTGTGTGTGTGTGTGTGTGTGTGTGTGTTTGTGTGTGTGTGTGTGTGTGTGTGTAGTGTGTGTGGTGGATGTTGGTGGTGGTGTGTGTGTGGTGGGTGGGTGGATGTGAGTGTGTGTGTGTGTGGTTGGGTGTGGATGTGAGTGTGTGTGGGTGTGTGTTCCTTTGTGGGGTGGGTGGGGGGTTTGGCGTGTGTGTTGGGTGTGGGTGGTTGGTGGATGTGAGTGTGTGTGTGTGGGTGGTTGGGTGGATGGAGTTGATGTGTGTGTGTGGTGTGGGTGTGGGTGGTTGTGGTGGATGTGTGCTGGTGTCATTGTGTTTGGGTGGATGTGATGTGTGTGTGGTGGTGGGGTGGTTGGGTGGATGTGAGTGTGTGTGTGTGTCATTGTGGGGGGTGGTTGGGTGATGTGGTTGGTGTGGAGTGTGATGGTGTGTGTCATGTGATGGTGTGGTGTGTGTTGTGAGTTGTGGGTTGGGTGGTTGGGTGAATGTGAGTGTGTGTGTGTGTGGTGGGTTGGATGTGAGAGTGTGTTGTCCATTGTGGGTGGTTGGGTGGATGTGAGTGTGTGGGTGGTTGGGTGGAGTGAGTGTTTGTGTGTGTCATTGTGGGTGGGTGGTTGGGTGGATGTGATGTGTGGTGGGGGGTTGGGTGGATGTGAGTGTGTGTGTGGGTGGATGGTTGGGTAGATGTGAGTGTGTGTGTGGGTGGTGGTTGGGTGGATGTGAAGTGTGTGTGTGTGTTGTCTTGTGGGGTGGGGTGTTGGTGGTGTTGCAGTTGTGTGTGATGTGGTGGGTGGTGTGAGTGTTGTTGGGTGGGGGGGGGGGGGGTGGTTGGGTAGATGTGAGTGTGTGTGTCATTGTGGGTGGGTAGTTGGGTGGATATGAGTGTGGTGTGGGTGTGTAGGTGGTTGGGTGGATGTGAGTGGGGGTTGGGTGGATGTGAGTGTGTGGGTGGGTGTGGGTGGTTGGGTGGATGTGAGTGTGTGTGTCATTGTGGGTGGGTGATTAGGTGGGTGGGTGATTGGGTGGATGTGAGTGTGTGTGGGTGTGGGTGGTTGGGTAGATGTTGAGTGTGTGTGTGTGGGTGTGGTTGGGTGGATGTGAGTGTGTGTGGTATGTGGTGTGTGGGTGGTTGGGTGGATGAGTGTGAGTGGTTGTTGGGTGGATGTGAGTGTGCATTGTGTGTTGTTGGTCTTGTGGGTGGGTGGTTGGGTGGATGTGAGTGTGTGTGGGTGTGGTGGTGGTGGATGTGGTGGTGTGTGAATGTGGGTGGTTGGGTGGATGTGAGTGGTGTGTGTGTGTGGGGTGGGTTGGGTTGGGTGATGTGAGTGTGTGTATGTGGGTGGTTGGGGTTGATGTGCGATGTGTGTGTGTCATGTGGTGCCATGGTGGGGTTGGTGTGGTGGTCGTGGTGTGGTGGTGGTTGGTGTGTGGTGTGGTGGTGGGTGAGTGTGTTGTGTGTGGATGGATGTGAGTGTGTGTGTGTCATTATGGGAGGGTGGTTGGGTGGATGTGAGTGTGTGTGGGTGTGGGTGGGTTGGTGTGGATGTGAGTGTGTGTGTGTGGGTGGTGGGTGGGTGGATGTGAGTGTGTGTGGTGTTGTGGATGGGTGGTTGGGTGGATGTGAGTTGTGGTGTGTGTGTGTGTGTACTGTGGTGGTTTGGGTGTGTGATGTGTGTGTGTCATTGTGGGTGGGTGTTGGGTGGATGTGAGTGTTGTGGGTGTGGGTGGTAGGGTGGATGTGAGTGTGTGTGTGTCATTTGTGGGTGGGTGGTTTGGATTGAGTGTGCGTGTGTGTGTCTGGGTGGTTGGGTGGATGTGAGTGTGTGTGTGTGGGTGGGTGGGTGGTTGGGTGGATGTGAGTGTGTGGTGGTTGGGTGGATGTTGCGTGGTGTGTTGTGTATTGGTGTGGGTGGTTGGGTGGATGTGAGTGTGGTGTGTGGGTGGGTGGTTGGTTGGGATGTGAGTGTGTGGTGTGGGTGTGCGTGGTTGTTGGATGTGAAGTGGTGTGTGGGGTGCGTTGGGTGGATTGAGTGCGTGTGGTGGTCATTGTGGGTGGTAGTTTGGGTTGGATGTGAAGTGTGTGTGGGTGTTGGGTGGATGTGAGTGTGTGTGGGGTGGTTGGGTGAATGTGAAGTGTGTGTGTGTCATTGTGGGTGGGTGGTTGGGTGGATGTCATGTGTGTGTGGGTGTGGGTGGTTGGGTGGATGTGAGTGTGTGTGTGTTCATTGTGGGTGGGTGGTTGGGTGGATGTGAGTGTGTGTGGGGTGGGTGGTTGGGGTATGTGAGTGTGTGTGTGGTGTGGGTGGTTGGGTGATTAGTATGTGTGTGGTGTGTGGGTAGTTGGGATGTGATGTGATGTGTGGTAGGGGGGGGTGTTGGGTGGTTGGTGAGGTGTGTGTGTGTGGGGTGTGGTAGGGTGGAGATGTGAGGTGTGTGTGTGTGTGGGTGGTTCGGGTGGATTGTGAGTGTGTGGGTGGGTGGTGGTGGGTGATGTTGAGTGGTGTGTGGGTGGGTCGGTTGGGGTGGATGTGAGTGTGTGTCGTGGTGGGTGGTGGGTGGATGTGGTAGTGTGTGTGTTCGTGTGTTTGGGGTGGGTGTGTTGGGGATCTGAGTTGTGCTTGTGTGTGGGTGGGTGCTTGGGTGAATGGAGTGTGTGTGTGTCACTGTAGTGGTGGTTGGGTGGAGTGATGTGTGTGGGTGGGTGTTGGGTGGATGTGAAGTGTGAGTGTGTGTGTGTGTGGTGTGTGTTGTGTGTGTGTGTGTGGGTGTGTGTGTTTGGTGGTGTGTGGTTGGGTGGGTGGGGGCTGGTGGATGTGAGTGTGTGTGTGTGGTGGGTGGGGTGGTTGAGTGGAGTGTGTGTGTGTGTGTGTGTGTGCGTGGTGCGTGTGTGTGTGTATGTGTGTGGTAGCTGTGTGTGTGTGGTGTGTGTGTGTGTGTGTGTGTGTGTGTGGTGTGTGTGTGTGTTTGTGTGTGGTGTGTGTGTGTGTGTCGTGTGTGATGTGTGTGTGATGTTGGGTGGATGGTGATGTGTGTGTGTGTGTGTGTGTGGGTGGTGGTTGTGTGTGGTGTGTGTGGTGTGTGTGTTGTGTGTGTGTGTGTGTGGTGTGGTTGTGTTGTGTGTGTGTGGTGTGTGTGGTGTGTGTTGTGTGTATGTGGGTGGGTGGGTGTGAGTGGGTGTGGGTATGTGCGTGTGTGTGTGCGCGTGTATGTGTGTGTGTGTGTGTGTGTGTGTGTGTGTGTGTGTGTGTGTGTGTGTGTGTGTGTGTGTGTGTGTGTGTGTGTATGTGTGTGTGTGTGTGGATGTATGTATGTGTGTGCGTGGGTGGTGTGTGTGTGTGTGTGTGTGTGTGTGTGGTGTGTGTGTGTGTGTGTGTGTGTGTGTGTGTGTGTGTGTGTGTGTGTGTGTGTGTGGTATGTGTGTGTGTGTGTGTGTGTGTGTGTGTGTGTGTGGTGTGTGTTGTGTGTGTGTGTGTGTGTGCGTGCGTGCGTGCGTGCGTGCGTGCGTGTGTGTATGTGGGTGTGCGTGTGTGTATGTGGGTGGTGTGCTGTGCGTCCGTGGTGTGTGCGTGATGCGTGTGGTGAGTATGTGTGCGTGTGTGTGTGTGCGTGTGTGCGTGTGTGTGTGCGTGCGTGCGTGTTTTGCATAATTACATCTATATCTCTATTCATACTGTATTTAATGTATTCAAAATATGTGAAGCGGGGGTGTTGATAACATTATTGGCATCTCCTGCCATTTCATATGAGTATGTCCCTTAACCTTTATTAGTAAAGAATGCTGGTTTTACAAATAATGCTTTCCTGATAAGATCAATTTATGTAATACTTGCGTGTATGTGTGTATGCCTATTGTATTGTTTTCATGTGCGTTTGCTGTGAACCAATTCGAAGGTTAATTCAAATCTTAGCAAATATTTTTTTTCCCTTCTAATCTCTCTCTCTCTCTCTCTCTCTCTCTCTCTCTCTCTCCTCCTCTCCTCTCTTCTCTCCCTCTCTCTCTCTCCTCTCTCTCTTCTCTCATCCTGCTCCTCTCTCTCCTTGTTGAATACGAAGTCGAGATTCTTCTCTTCAGAAAGAATGACT